ACACAGTTATGATATAGAGTGATAAAGAATAAGAAAAAATAAAATTGATTTTATCTTCATTTATTCCAGTGCTCTTTCTTCTACTGCACAGATTCTTATATTGCCGTCTGGTGTTATAGTCCTTCTGTCTAAAAAGTTTCCTTTAACATTTCTTTTACTGTATATGTTCTGGAAGTTCATGCCTTCCATTTTTGCTTATCTGAAAAAAATCTTTATTTGTCCTTTTATTTTTTGAAAGATATTTTTACTGGTTACAATGATCTGGGTATATCTTTCCTTTTCCTCAGCCTTTAGTATAGATGTTTGAATCAATACAGTAAGGGCTTGGGGAAGGTTTGGGATTTGTTGTAGTTGTAGTTACCCACAGTGCACCACAGGCTTCAAATTCTGCCAGCAATACATTTGGCTTAGGGTGGGGCCCAGTTTGCTTGAGGGTGTTCAGGGTGGAGACCAGTTTATCATTTCTCAGTGTCAGCTCTGCCTTCAGCTTTCAGTCTTTCCTTTTCACTGAACCTTCATGAAATTGGCCTCTTCTGTCCCTGAGCTCCAATCATTACTAATGGTTTGTTGAGCCCCAACAAACTTATTTGTATTTGTTAACCTAGTTGTAAATGGCACAGTGTTGAGTGTTTTCTGGTAGTTTGATTATGTCTTAATCCTGACCCTACCAGCCCCTGAAAAATGGAACTATGGCCTTCAGTTGCTCTTGACCCTCCTTCATATGTAATTTTGGACACAGGATACTTTACTACACCTCTTTCTCCCTATTGTAGTTGTTTCTTCTCCATACTTTAAAGTTGACAGTTTTTGTGTCTTTTCTCCTACAAATTAAAGATTTTGTTCCAAAAAGGAACAAAGTCTGTCTATAATATTCTAAAGCTAATTATATCTTGTTATGATTTCCCAGTCTGCAGCTTCAGTGTCTTCAAGGAGCTGTTTTTGCTTTATGTTCAGGATTTATAACTCTTTCCTGGTGGGGTAGGGGATCCTCCATTACAGTTTTATTCCCACTTTACGCCCATGATATATATTTTTGTACATGTCTTTTGGAATTATCTATAATTTCTAGACACACAGTTTCATCAATTTTTATATTTCAAAGTGGAAATGATTTTACCCTAAATATGGAGAGATATATACACACACACACACAAATACAGAAACAAATACAAACAGATGTATAATTATAAATGAATATATTATAATAATTTTAAAAGTAATAGCTATTAAATATGAGTACCTGTTTCCTGTAGGAACTGAAATAAAACTCTATTTAATATATCTCAATCCAATCTTTTTCAATTTTTTTCCAAAACAATTTCCTCATTTAAAATTGAAAATGACATTACATCTTGTTCCATAATCTAGGAAGATGTTTACAATCTATTGCCCATTTCCCCAAAGCCTTTTAATCTCTCCAAACAACTTTTAATTTCCAGGAAAGATTCCTAGATGTAAAATGCCACTTTATGAATAATTTCTCTATTCCCCTTTTGGGCAAGCTGCTACTTATCTGGCAAGCTTTAAAAGCTATTTTCAAAAAGATTTTCAAGGGACTGGTAATTAGCTTCTTTTAACTTTTAAACACACTATTTGGATTTTGTTCCATATCAAGGATATAAGATTTTTCAAAGATCATTTATCTCACTTTTTAAATGTACTAAAGGCAATATGATACAATTTCTATGAATAAGTGTAATTAAATCCTTTGCATTTGGAGATTGTATCTTCTAAAACTATAATGTAACCATGACACATGACTATTTTAATAATCATGCTACTAATTATTATAAATTAAATTATCTAAGATATTAATATTTACAGTATGATGTTGTGAAAAGTGAAAACTTGCTCAGTCGTGTCCGACTCTTTGCGACCCCATGGACTGTAGCCCACCAGGCTCCTCCATCCATGATATTTTCTAGGCAAGAGTACTGGAGTGGGTTGCCATTTCCTTCTCCAGAGGATCTTCCTGATCCAGGGACCAAACCCAGGTCTCCTGCATTGCAGGCAGATGATTTAACCTCTGAGCCACCAGGGAATCCCATATGATGTTAGATGTTTCTAAACAACCAGCTACTCACTTTTATTTATTTATTTTTTTTTGGGGAGGCAAAGAAGAGACTTTAATCGGGAAGCCGGCAGACCGAGAAGATGGCAGGCTAGCACCTCAAAATAACCATCTTATGGTTATTATGGGGTCTGGTTATTATGGTTATGGGGTCTGGAGGTTAGGTTCTTTTATAGATCAGAGATGAGGAGCAGTGAGGCAGCAAGGTAAAAAGGCCGTTAATCTTACAAACATCTCCTCAGGCAGGGAATGTGTTCATTTCTTCCTTCCTACTATCCATAGGTAGACAGGGTTCTGAACAAAGGCACTTTAGTTTAACGGTTAGGCAGAGGGGCAGGATTCTCTGAGGCAAACCATTCTGTATAATAACAAAAGCAATGAAAAGCAAGTCAGAGAAACAGTTCCAACATGGAGTCAGAATTGGCTTCCTCCCTGCAACACAACTTGTCTCCCACTTCAATACCAGTGTCTAGGATGGCACTAGTGGTAAAAAAAAAAAAGCTGCGGCTGCCAATGCAGGAGACCTAAGAAACGCGGGTTCGGTCCCTGGGTCAGAAAGACTTCTGGAACAGGAAATGGCAACCCACTCCAGCATTCTTGTCTGGAGAATCCCATAGACAGAGGAGGCTGGCAGGCTACTGTCCATGGGGTCGCAAAGAGTCAGAAACAACTGAAGTGACTTAGCACAACACAGCACACACAGGGTCATGGTACTCAAAATGTAACCTAGGAGTTTTTTAAACAAGCTCAGGACCCACTATCGACCTAGAGAATCAGAATCTGTATTTTAAAAAGATGCCAAGTGATTCAAGTGATTCATAAGCACATGAAATTTTGAGAAACTACTCCAGTCTACAAGAGTAATTCTCTAGTCATATTTACATGAAGTCTGGCAGTTCATGGGGTCACAAAGAGTTGGACATAACTTAGCAACCGAGCAACAACAAAGCTGAAACCAAGTGTTTCCCACACTGCCCATTCCTTGCTTCCATCTTGCCCTCTGCACGTTTTTCTTTACCTCCAGATCAGACATAAAAGTTGTGCGGGAAATGAGATAATCAAATCCTGTACATAGAATCCAAATGTTTCCACCCTGAACCCATTCCACATGGAAGCAGAAGGGATACAACAGCTCGAATGTTTAAGTCCCAGGGTTCTAGACATTTTGGCACTGCAGAAACTTCTGAAGCTCTTCAATGTAGTGTGAAAGTCACTCAGCTGTGCCTGACTCTTCAATCCCATGGACTGTACCCCGCCAGGCTCCTCTGTCCATGGAATTCACCAGACAAGAATACTCGAGTGGGCAGCCACCACCCCCTCCAGCGGATCTTCCCGACCTGGGGATTGAGCCCAGTTCTCCTGCACTGCAGGCAGATTCCCCACTGTCTGAGCCCCAGGGAATCTTCAGTGTAAAGGTTACTGAACATCTGATTATCTACTGATGGTATTTATATGGCATAACTGTACTGTAACTTATTTTTCTAATAAACATGCCAGAATTTATATAACCAACTAATTTTTGCCCTCTTCAAAGGAGTCACCCTAGGAAAAAAATAAATGCAAATTCCTGTTTAAAAACTTGTCACTTTTCTTTCATAATTATTAGGCAATATATATGACATTCCTTCTCCTCATGTCATTACTCTTTAGCACCTCTAAAGTCTGAACAATAATAATTCCTAATTTAATCACCTTATCATTTTTATCATTTAGAACCATCTGGTTAGCTATATGAGTAATTTCCACAAATTAAAGTACATGAGTCTGCAAAGATAAACTCTAGTGGATACTCATAAAGCATTCAAGGCCACCTTTTAAAAAAGGTTTAAAATAAACATCATCTCCTTTGAAGAGAATATCCATTCCAATACAGAATCTGGTATATATCTGACTAAAAAATTATATCTCTTAACAGAAGTGAAAGTCGCTCAGTCGTGTCCGACTCTTTGCAGCTGCATGGACTGCACAGTCCATGGAATTCTCCAGGCCAGAACACTGGAGTGGGCAGCCCTTCCCCCCTCCAGATCTTCCCAACCCAGGAATGGAACCCAGGTCTCCCGCACTGCAGGCAGACTCCCCAGCAGCTGAGCCACAGGGAAGCCCAAGAATACTGGAGTGGGCAGCCCATCCCCTCTCCAGGGGATCTTCCCGAACCAGGAATCGAACCGACCCCGGTCTCCTGCATTTCAGGCAGACTCCCCACCAGCAAAGCTACCAGGGAAGCCCACAGCTCTTAACAGTTGGCACAAACTCTTCTCCACTTATAATACTGAAGAAAATGACAGGCTTCCTAGATGGCTCAGTGGTAAAGAATCTACTTGCAACGCAGGAGATCTGGGTTTGATCCCAGTGTCGGGAAGACCGCTGGAGAAGGAAATGGCAACCCACTCCAGCATTCCCGCCTGGGAAATCCCATGGACAGAGGAGTCTGGCGGGTCACAGCCCATAGGGTCACAAGAGTAGGACACAACCTAGCAACTGAACAACAATAACAAGAAAATGATGAGGCAGAAGAGCAAATTTCACCTTAAATAAAAACATTCTTGAAATCTACTTTAATTCCAAGAGATTTATCTAGATTGAACAGTATTATTTTCTACTATTTCTAGTTGTACAGTAAAGCAAATAGTGAAACAACTTTCATAATATACAACTTTTATCTTTTACAAATGTTACTTTATCTGTATAAGTAATATATATTTTCATAAATTATGAATGACCTGGTTCCATTAAAAGTTTCTGCAAATGTGGAAAAATCTTATTTGTCAATTAATGACAAAAAAAATTAATAACTTCCTTCCACAGAGAAAAGTGGGTGTAGAGACCAGTTCTGACAGCATTTCACAAGGTAAAGTACCAAAAAGTCTGGTAAACAGCCCTCTTTTCAGGGAAAATAAAAAGATTTCAATGGGTTCTTCCTTTGAACTGTTCAGTAACCCCAGGTGATTTTTAAATTGGGAGGCAGATTACTGGCAATAAGTTCATCAAATTTAGATTTATCCTGAACAGGCACAGGATAGAAATCAAGAACATCTCTAACCCTGCACATCTGGTGAAGCCTGGAGTTAGGCACTGCATGGCCCAAGTCATCAGCTAAACGTGCTAAGAAGCTGAACTTCATATGAACATCTTCCAGGGAGATCTCCTGCCAACTGGTAGGAACAGATGAACCAAAAACTTCTTTGACATGAGATTCCAAACGACTCTGGAGATCTTCAGGTGGTATGTATGCTTGGCTTCGTAAGGGTGGACACACCAAGACAGGTTCTTTCTTCACCTCTTCTACTGTCTCAGCTTCCATTGGCTGTTTCTCTTTTCTGAATCGAGACCAAAATTCTCTGCGTGGCGCCCCTGAAGCTACTGTGAGGCTTTTTCTGGCAACGCCGGCCACCCAGAGCGCCGCCATCTTCGGGGAGAGCTACTCACTTTTAAAAAGAAAGTCTATTTTTATTCTACCTAACCATAAAATATCCTTATTTACTTACATATCTTAAATAGTTTAATAATTAACTTTATTTGTACTATAAAATTAGTGATATTAATCCTCAGGGTCCATTTGAAGCTATGCATTCTCTGTGTACCATTCGTATAGTCATGTTCCTATTATAATGCCCCTGATGTACCGGAAATAGTGAATGATGAATCACTGGTAGGGTGTAGCAGGGGTAAATTTGCATTAGCTCCATACTCAGAAAAAGATAAGGCAAAAAATAAGATTATTCAAACTTAGCTTACCTTATGGTGGAGCAGACTGTCTATTGTGTCTCTTCAAACACAAATAAATGCTCTGCTCATTGCTGATCCAAACCCCAAAGATGGATTTTTACTAATCAGTTGCAATGATAATCATGAAAACATCTCTCTTGATGAATCATGATGGGAAGTATTATAAATGACAATATATTTTAACGTATTTACACTTATTATTTGGCTTCTATTAGAGATAATGTTTAAAGAACTTAAGGTTCTTGCATAAATTTTCCACAAATGCTTCACATGGTTTTCAGATATTTGGAAGAAACCAGTTGGACTTAAGATTATGCAGTAGTCTTTAATATCTACTGTAATACTGACAGGTATTTAGCTGGACTGTATAGATAACAAAACCACACTTCTCCCATAATGACATGAAAACGACCAAAGAATTGACTCATGTAGCTATGAGGTGGGCAGCACTATATGACAGTCCTGTCTGTGCCCGTTGATCATATGATCTACCTTTTTTTAAAAATTTAAAAATATTATAGTTAAATTATATCTGTTTAAACAGACCCTTGAATAAAACAATATTTGTTATGTAAAAAGAAAGATAATGGCACTACATTTTGAAGCTAATAGAATGTAGCCCAAATATTATGCATAAGTTTCTTGCCTTTAAAATTCCTTTAATAAAATATGGGTGTGTTAAATTAACTCTTCAAAGGTTTAAAAAAGATGAAGCCTTATAAAAACTTATGGAATTGGATAAAATATAAAATTACACATTGATTATAAAAGAAAAAGCAGAATAGAGGAAAGACTTAAAACTAGTCTATTGAACAAATAATTAAAAGAAAAAAGCCAGCAAATATCTGGAAATTTTGATTATAGGAGATAAAAAAATGCAAAAAAAAAAAAAAGATGGGAAATAAGAAAAAACATGGCAAAGCTTAAGTAAAATTTTAATTTTTTTTTATAAAAATAGGATACAAAGTTATGTGTTTAAATATATTTAAATATTCACATATTCTTACTTCCTAATAAACGTACAACTCCAGGAGTTGGTAATGGACAGGGAGGCCTGGCATGCTGTAGTCCATGGGGTCACAAAGGGTCAGACACAACTGAGCGACTGAACTGAATTGAACTGAATAAACTTACATAACCTGGAGCTTGTTATTCTGTGGCTGATGAGCTGGAGATCTACCAGTGACGCTCACAGGCTGTTGACCTCTCCAGGTGCTCATGGACGTACTCTGCTTGCACAGTGCTCTGACGGCTTTGGCAGTGACAGAATTGCATCCATCTTCCATGTTTTGTTAGAGATACAGTTTAGGGTTCTACAGTGTTACAGAACTTAAATTCAGCTTTTTATATTGAGTTGGCCAGAAAGTTAGTTCAGGTTTTTCCACAAGATGTTACAGAAAGCCCCAAATGAAATTTTGGCCAACTCAATACATCTGCCTTTTTTTTCAGCCCAGTGTGTGTCACACTGGGCTTTCTTGGTGGCTCAGACTGTAAAGAATCTGCCTGCCAGTTTCAATCTCCGTGTGGCTACCCACTCCAGTATTCTCACCTGGAGAATTCCATGGACAGAAGGGCCTGGAAGGCTATAGGCCATGATGTCGCAGAGTCAGACACGACTGGGTGACTAACACTCACTTTTTCACTTTGTGTATATCACACCACCAAATGGGAAGAAAAAGATACTTTCAATACAGCGTCAATATTGTACCTCAGACCATCATTCTCTCCTTCACCTCTGGCCTGTCGTGGTTTTTTGTCAGTCAACTTCCTAATAATGATTTCTTTTTTAATCTGCTTATTATCCCCCATGAGATCTAACTCCTCCACATCAACACACACGTTCCTTAATGTGCCGTGAACACAATCATTAGTAAAGATTGTTTCCTTTTTTGTTGATTGGTTATTATTGTTCCTAAAATAAAACATCTCTTAGAAGGGTAAAATGAAATTGTCATTGCTGTCCTGCTGATATCCATATGTTGAAGACTTAATATTCCACAAAAGAAATAGAAATGACAGATACACAATAATATAGCAGTTGCATGGCATCCAGATTCCTCATGCAATATAATTCATGAAACAACATGTATAAGGGAATTTGGACATGTTGTCATATATAAAATATATATGGAAGTCTAGTTTGCCTATTAACAGACCCTAATTCTTTTGGTTAGTGATAATTCTAAGGATGTCATTTGATCATGCTGTTTAATTGCTCAGTCGTGTCCAACTCTCTGCGACCCCATAGACCGCAGCCTGCCAGGCTCTTCTGTCCATGGGGTTCTCCAGGCAAGAATAGTGGAGTGGGTTGCCATTTCCTTCTCCCATTTGATCATGGGTCTCTAAAATAAGAACTTATTTTCATTCCATATTCTGCTGTTATGTATTTGGCCTGTTTTTCACCTCTGACTGATTGACTGGTGACAATGAGCTGCCTTTTCATTGCAACAGGAGAGAACATTTCAAATGATTATGTCTAATCAGTTCAAGGGAGGCAAGGCAACCAAGCCTCTAACTTGAAGATATTTCCTGTTTCAATTTTCATTTTATCTCTCTGACTCATCTTTTAATCACAGCAGTGCTATTGTCTGATGGAATTGCAATGATGGAAATTTAAACATGGCATAATTAAATATATTTTGTTGAAACTCAGAAGAGAAAAATCTCTCTCAGCACCCAGCTACTTTTTTAAAAAGTGGCTCCTTATGAGTTGAAATATCGTTACTACAAAAATAGAATATGTATGATCATGCCAAAATGAAGATATTCTTATAAGTTTTTCAAAGTGATTTCAAATGTGTACATTTTCAGTTCTGTACTGATATTTGTTTCCCAAAGATGATTATTTGGATATAAATATAAATGTTTGTATGTGTCTTCATAACATATAGTAATATGTCTGTCTGTGTCAGATAGAGATACAGACATACAGCAATAGTAGAGCAAATTAAAGACATACAGTAATACAAACTTCCTCAGGATGGTTTATCTAGTATGCTTTCTTAAATAATTGCTTAATGAAAACAGAAAAAAAAAGGAAAATATGCATTTAAAAGCAAAAAGCTGACAAATCTAACTTTGATCTTTATAAAAAACATAATAAAAAATCTCCCTGGGCTCATTATTGCTCAAGCTTGTCTGCCTATTAGAATCAACTCTTGTTTAGTCACAAAGAAAGTCACTACGTCGTGTCCTACTCTTTGCGACCCAATGGACTATAACCCCCCAACATCCTCTATCCCGGGGATTTTCCAGGCAAGAATGCTGTTCATTGCCATTTCTTTTTCCAGAGGATCTTTCTGACCCAGGGATGGAACCCGAAACTCCTGCTGAGTCTCTTGCATTGCAGGCAGATTCTTTACCTCTGAGCCACAGGGGAAGCCTAGTGAATCCACTGGAGATCTTTTAAAATGTCAAAGCCCAGGACAAGTCCTAGGTAAATTAGATCATAAAGATTCTTATAGAGTATGTTTGAAAAGCATTAGTGCTTTATCTTTCACATTTAGGTTTTTAATTCCTTTAAGAAAGTTTGGAGCTCAAATTAACTTTTGAGATAACATCAGCATTCATTGAACCCATTTCTAGTTTTTGAGTTTCATTTTTTGACTGCTTTCAACTGTGTTTAAGGACTGATACTTTAGGGACTTTATTTTTTACTAAATATCTTCCAAAGAATATACTCTAGGGACTTTATTTTTTACTAAATATCTTCCAAAGAATAAAAAGTATTTTTAATAAACAAAACTCATGCTATCTGTAGTCTGAAACATTGAATCCCTTTATAAATTAAAGTTACATAGTAGGATCTCAATGATTTTATTTTATTGTATCTTGAAACACCTGGCTATTTTATCATAGTGGAGATTATTTCATTGCTCATCATTTATTACCAATGATGCTTTAAAAAAAGACTGAAATAAGAAAAAAGAATTATGGGTTTTTCTACAAGGCTCATGCTGGAAACAAGCCATCATTTATTTGTTCTTGTTTTCTTATTTCCTTGTCCAAAATATTATAACTATGTCTCAAAACGTATAAAAAAATTATTTGAAACATCGTCTCTGTACTATTGTCTTACCATTCTTTAGCCTTGTTGAGAACTTTCTGCTTATAATGGTGAAGAGAAGAAAATTTATGAAAGAAGAATTTTCACAAATATTTGAGTCAGGAGATTAAATCAGAATATGAGACAGCACCACAGTAAACTCTGGGCTTTTAATAATAATGATGAAATAGCTTTTACAAGCACAATCTCATCTATGAGTCTTCAGAGTATAGCATCTTAGATGAACTTTCTCAAATTCAAGAATCAACAAGTGAAGTATATTTCTAAGGATAAAAAGGGAAATATGACATTCTCACTCAGTTAGTCATTCAGTTGGAATGACATCATCACACAAAATTTTGCAACAAGAATATGGACATATTTAGGATCAACCTAGAAGATGTTACACTAAGTAAGTCAGACAAAGAAAGGCAGATAGTATATGATTTCACATACATGTAGAATTTATAAAACAGATGAACAAACAGAACAGACTCATAGATATAGGAAACTTGGTTGCCAGAGGGAAGGGGGAGGGGAAGATTAGGCAAAATAGGTGAAAGGGATTCAGAGGTATAAACTTCAAGTTATAAAATAAGTCACAGGGATATAATTACAGGATAGGGAATGTAGAT